TATTCCACCCTCCTAACAACCCAGAATGTTAGGCCCAATAAGACCCCCTTCCACAGACTGGGGCAGCAAATCTCCCAAAGATGAAGAGACTTGCCCAGGGTCCCAGCTGGTGCGTGGGAGGGCCCTGATTTAACCCCCGCTCTGTCTGGTTCCAGGTCCAGGGCCCTTTCTACCCCATCTTCCCCCACCTGGCTCAGGATCCCCATTGGTGACATGAGGCAGCAGAAGTCTTCTAGGTTCTCTCCATCTCTGAGATGTTGTGTATCACTTCTATACAATCTGTGAGGCTGTGTCCACTGACAGGGTCCTGCTCTCTCAGGGACTGGCCTTGAGGGGCCTCTCACAGTGGGGCATTGTGCTGGGAAGGTCAGCTGCCCTTCTCCACTGTCCCAGGGATCCCCAGTCCATTGCTCTAACAAGCAACTCTGCCCCTTTCCCACAGGGCATCCTGGCCCCAGGGCAGGGGAGGGGGGCAATCCAGCTTTGTCTCCACATTTTTCAGGGAAACTCTGCTCAGTAGGGGTGAGTGAGTGTGTGTGGGTGTGTTAGTGTAAGAGACAGAGAGAGAGTGCAGACCCTGGGCACACTGGGTTGGGATGTACGGGGTAGGGCAGGCAGTGGTTTTGGCCTGGAAGGGATTTTCTGACTACAAGCCTCAAAGAAGCTGGAAAGAACATCTATGCTCTTGGCAAGCACTAAAGAGCTGGTTTGATTCAATCCTTCTGGCTGCATTAACAGAGGCACATGCTGTAGGATGAGGGAGGTGATGATCCCATCTGGGAATAGGTGTCGCACTTTAAGAGGAGGCACTGACTAATTGTGATGGAAAGGGAGCAGGGAGAGGAGATGCTAGAGGAACGAGGAAACACATGGACCAACCCAGAGGGACTTAATTCCTGTCTGCAGATTTCTGCAGCTGTTCTGGGGCAGGGACAGCCAGTTGTCTGGGATGGTCAGTGTATGGAAATTATAGGAAGGCTGGCTCTGATTCAGCATAGGCTTTGTCTGCTCAAAAGACACAATGTGGCAAAAGTGTAGTGGGGAAGATGACTCTATCCCAAAGGGAAGCACCAGTCAGACCACACTGTGGTCCTCAGGAAAGGGAGAACGGTGGCCCTGGAAGGAACCAAGGACAGACTTCCTGCATCCTGGTACTTAAGTCCTTATGTGTCCCTGGACAAGTTCTGCCCTTTCTATGGACCTCAGTTTCCCCATCTCTAATATGAAGTTCTTGCCTTTAACTACATATGGCTAGTAGGCACTTGCAATATGGCTATTGTAAGAAACTCAATCATTAATTCTATTTAACTGTAATTAATTAAAAATTAAATCTAAAAGCTGACACCCAATTCAGTTACTGGAAAACCTTTATGTTTGGAGCAGCTTGGGTATATGAATCTACTTTGTCAACTGTAAGTTTTATGAAATCTAAATACAGATCAAGTATTTCCAGTGAAAATTTACATCTAAATTGAGATGTGCAGTGAGTGTTAAACACACACTGGATTTCAAAGACTTAATACAAAAAGGAGAATGCAAAATATCTCAATGATTTTCTTATATTGATTACATACTGAAATGATATTTTGGATATATTGGGCTAAATAAAATACATTATTAAAATTAATTTCACCTTTTTTAACCCTTTTAAAATGTAAAATCACATTTTAAATACTACAAAATTTTAAATTGCATACGTGGCTTCTATTCTGTTTCTATTGGACAGCGCTAGGCTATCTCAGGTCTCTTGCTTCT